TTTTACGCATAAATTACGAAAGGTAAAATGCAGTCTACTGGTTTTAGGAATCCTCTTACTTGTAAAAGTCAGCTTGTCATACAAAATTACACTTTGGAGAACAAGTCTCAACAAGCATCTATCGGCCGTTACTTCTAAGCTATGCTTCTCTTCTGGCTCAAGAATGCCCTCCGAAATCCACAGGTTGCTGACTTTCAAGCAAGGGATCTTGTATTTCTTTGGGAACACACCCATATACAGAAAGCATGCCTTGAGATATTGAGGCAACATCGTGTAACTCAAGGACAGTGCCTCCGAGAGGGGTGTGTTGTCATGTATTGTGATGGTAAGTGGATCTTCCTTTTCTGCTAAAATCTTCCAATTTTCGACCGTTTTATCGGTTTTACTGAGGAGCTTTGCGACCTCGATAATAGCCAAAGGGAGCCCTTCGCAGTTCTTGGCAATCTTCTTTCCAATCTCCTCAAGTTCCCGACTGCACCGATCTTCTTCAGTAGTGAATACAAGCTTGCGAAGGAGATTCCAACTCTCACGATCATTCAGCAACGACATTTCTATATAATGTATTGTATTATCACCATTAACTAATTGTAGGAGCCTAGATGTCAAGATGATGCGGCTCTTGTTTCCGTCATCCGGAAAGCTAACTTTTAGCCGAAGCCAAACATCAGTATCCCATATGTTATCCAACACGATCAGATACCTATGTTTGTGCAAAATCTGGTGTAAAAGTTCGGCTAATGAATCTTCATCATCATCGTCGTTGAAGGAGATTTTGTCCGCTATACGATCCCGAAAACTCATCCGACGCAGAACAAGTTGCAGAATCTCTCTCAGCTTATAATGAGGGCCGATTGACACAAATGAAAAACATTCAAAATCAATTCGAACATCTGGATTGTTACAATATTCTCTGGCGAGAGCAGTCTTACCGAGGCCAGCCATACCCCAGATTAACATCGTGCTGAGTCTTCTCTTCCCATCAAACATCCAATCCCATATCTTGAACGTTTCCCACGCCTTTTTCTTCTCGATAATTAACGGAACGTAGTCCACATCGAAAGAATCATCGCTCGGTTCTTGGTGTTGGTAATGATCTTCTTCGTCACCGGTCTGCAGTAGTTGGGTAAATGCAGTAATTTCTTGTCTGAATTGCTCAAGTTGTTGGGAGAGCTCGTCAGTGAAACGCTCGTTGACAGAGATTTGAAGATCGGATCTGAGAAGAAAATGATTGGAAATATGGGAGTCGATCAGATCTTCAAGTTTCCTCGCCACATTTGTAACTCGTCGCTCCGAAGAAGAAACGTCTACTTTCCTACTGCTCGGCGATGACTTAACTTTTCCAGACTCGATTCCAGGGCAGTGAAGCTCATCAGGAGATAAATCTGATTTTTGAATCATGGTTAACAAATTTGGACCGCGAATGACATAGAAGGTTCTGTATAGTCTGCTTGAGGGGTCTGTTTTCGTCTTTTGTGATGGTAACTGGATCTGGATCTTCTCTTTCTGCTACCATTTTCCATTCCGTTTTCTCAATCTTACAGAGGTGCTTAGCGACCTCGATAATTGCCAAAGGGAGTCCTCTGCAGTTTTTGGCAATCTTCTTTCCAATTTCCTCAAGTTCCGGACTGCACCCCTCTCCTTCAGCAGTGAATACAAGCTTGCGCAGCAGATCCCAGCTCTCGTCGTCATTCAGCATCGACATTTCTAAATGTTGAACCGTAGCATCACGACCGAGAAAGTCCTCGCGCCTCGATGTCAAGATGATGCGGCTCATGTTTCCGTCGTCCGGAAAGCTAACTTTTAGCCGAATCCAAACCTCGGTATCCCGTAAGTCATCCAACACAATCAGATACCTACTTTTGTGCAATGTCCGGTGTAAAAGATCGGCTAAAGAATCTTCATCATCGTCATCGTCATCGTCGAAGGAGATTCCGTCCGCCGCTCTGCGATCGGGAAAGCTCATCCCGCGCAGAACAAGTTGCAGAATCTCTTTCGACGTGCAACGAGGGCCGATCGACGCAAACGAATAACATTTATAAGCTTTTCGAACATATGGATTGTTGCAAAATTCTCTGACGAGAGCAGTCTTGCCGAGGCCGGCCACACCCCAGATTAACATCGTGCTGAGTTGAATCGTGTGGGTGAACTCGTTAAACATCCAATTCTGTATGTAGTACGATTCCCACGCCTTCTTCTTCTCGACGATTAACGGAATGTAGTCGTCGTCGTCGAAAGAATGATTGATCAGTTTAAATTGGGACACATATTTTTCTACTTCATCGGCCTTGAGTGACTCGGTGAATGCGGTGACTTCGTGCCCGACTTGCTCGAGTTGGTGGGTGAACTCGTCACTCAGACGCTTGTCGATGGAGATTTTAAGATCTGATCGGAAATATGGGAGTCGATCAGATCTTCAAGCTTCCTCGCCGCATCTGTAACTCGTCGCTCCGAAGAAGAAACGTCTGCTCTCCTGCTGCTCGTCAGTGACCTAATTTTACCCAGGCATGATTCCGCGTAACGAATCTCATTGGAGATGAATTCGATTTCTGAATCAGGGAGAACAAATTTCGACCGCGAAGAAGATAGAAGGTTCTGGATTGCCTGCTTGAGGTAAACTACTGCAGCATAAGCCATTTTTGAACTCAGATCTCTCTCTCTCTCTCTCTCTCCTCTTTTCTCTCTCTCTCTCTCCTCTTTTCTCTCTCTCTCTCTCTCTCTCTCCTCTTCTCTCTCTCTCTCTCTCTCTCTCTCTCTCTCTCGTCAACGATGATAATGGTCACGTGAAATCGAAGCTTCTGGTTCGTCCAAATCTACGTGGAATGGTCAAATCGAAATCAAATAGAAAATCGGAATCTTATGTATATTTCGATTCTGATTAAAAAAAAACCAAAAATTGGCAAAAACATTCCCTTTTTTTCATAATTGCCCTTGTTTTGCCAATTAAAATATCCGGAATTTGGAAATACGGTTTCAATTTTTATTTTTTTTATTAATACACTGAATATATCTTTACCATTCATATATACACAAACACTCACACCCACACCCACATTAGTGTGTGTATCAACGCCACAAAAATCGCCCGATGTAGCATACACCGAGTGTAGCATATAAATAACCCGATAAACCGGGCTATTGGGCTCTCTATTTCTACAACACGAAGCACTATGTGAGTTTGTATAGATTCACTATTCACTAATTAAAAAAAAAAAACAAAACCAAAAAAAATGAGGCCTCAAATAGTGGTGTTTGGTGACTCAATAACACAGCAATCCTTCGGATCAGGTGGTTGGGGTGCTTCAGTTGCCGACATTTATTCAAGAAAGGTCTCATCTTTATTCAACAAAATGTGTATCCATCTGTGTGTGTGTGTGTGTGTGTATCGATCTGGGCATGTATAAAACTGTGTGAAAATTACAGTATTGGTGCGTGTGTGTGTGTGTGCAGGTTGATGTAGTGCTACGTGGCTATGGTGGGTACAACACCAGGTGGGCTCTGTTCTTGCTGCATCATCTTTTCCCTCTGGTAATTATCTTTTTTTTCTTCTTCTGCTGATTTATGATTCTTGATGAACCCTTTTTTTTTTTTTTTTTTTTTTTTTTTTTTTGGGGGGCAACATTTTCTTGAATGGGTGTTATGTTTTGGATCTGGGTCTTGTTTGGTTGTTTTATTGGATGTAAGCACACTAGAATAGTTGGAAATTAGTTTTAATTTTTTTTTCTTTTCCGAAATATAAAAATGTTATCACATTAGTATTGGTTCGATCTAGGTGTGTAAGTAATTGTATATCGAACGGTGGGATCGAAATTAGTCATTTTGGAAAAAAAACCGATTTTTTCCGGAAGTGAAAAACTAGTTCCAATTTCATTCGAAAAAAAAATTGGAATTGGAATTTCGGAAATTGGAATGTAAAAACTTGTTCCGAAATCAGAAAATTTTCGGATCGGAATCGGCGCAATTTGGAAATTTCTATTTTTTGGTCACCTAAAATATATAAAATACAGAAGAATATTGGTATTTTAAGTGTAATATTCGGAAAAAAATCGAAACTTTTGGATTATTTTCGAACTGAAAATCGAATCGGAAATCAGAATCTCATATATATTCCTCCAATCCCGATCCAAATAACTTCGGAAAAATCAAAATTTCGGAATTCGGATTGAATAATATTGTTCCAACATCGGAAATTTCGTTCTAATTTCCACCCCTAGTTGTATAGCAACGATAAGTATACACACAAACACACACATTGGATGTGATATAATAAATAAATACCCCGTTTTCTGTAGCGAATTGCATTGCGTTACATCGGATCCATTTTATATAGCCATACTATTTGTATCTTCAAGTTGTTTTGTCGAAGCTTGTTGTTGAATCAGATATTTTTTTATTGCGTTTGATATTATTTATTTTAATGATTCCGTTTTGGATAATCCGACAACTAAGCAGGAATCTTCGACACCTCTTGCTGCTGTTACTATATTTTTCGGGGCAAACGATGCTGCTCTTCTAGAGGGCACCGGCAAAAAACAGCACGTGCCGATCGAAGAGTACAAGGAAAATTTGAGAACAATCGTTCGGCATATTAAGGTTTCTCTTCTGCTACTTTATATATTGCACAAGTTAGGAGATTTTAAATTAATTTTTCAAAATTGCAGGACCGGTCCCCGAACACGCTCGTTGTGCTTATAACTCCACCTCCGGTTGATCAGCAAGGGCGTCGAGAATTCGCAAGGTACGACTGTTCTTGCTTTGAGTACTTGACTAAACAGCTTCGTTTCTGAATTTTATTTCTAATAAATCGAATTGTTTTTATCTCACGAGATGTTGCGATTATACATTTTTTCCGATTATTTTACTAAAATTACAGGTCTATGTATGGCGACAAGGCATCGGAATTGCCCGATAGGACAAACGAAGTGACTGGTACATATGCTGAGCAGTGTGTTGCTTTAGCCAAAGAACTCGGTCTCCCTTCGATTAATCTATGGTCCAAAATGCAGGAAACTCGAGATTGGCAGAAAAAATTCTTAAGGTTTGTCAATCTAAGGCCTCGTTTGGTTTCTAAAATAAGAATGAATATCCAATTATATTGTTGGACGATAGGAATTCCTATAAATAATCTCTCTCGATTAGCCAAGATCAGAGCCATTTGTTCCACAATTAATTGCGGGCCGGCCCGAAAAGTTATTATAATTGCGGCCTGGCCCGAAAAGTTATTATAATTGCGGCCCAGCCTGAAAAGTTAATATAGTTGCGACAAGGCCCGAAAAGTTAAAATAATTGCGGCCCGGCCCGAAAAGCTAATATAATTGCGGCAAGGCCCGAAAAGTATATAATTGCGGCCCGGCCCGAAAAGATATTATAATTGTGGCCCGGCCCAAAAAGTTATTAGACTAACCAAATATCCAATTATTTGGTCAATAATTGCTTATCTTGCTAATCAAACGAGGCCTAGGTTGCATTTAGAGGTTTAAAGGAATCACAAGTCGAGCCGAACTCACGACTTTTTGAATTTGTTAGCGTGGTTTCTTTTATAAATATTTTATTATTATTATTTTTAGTTTATGGGAGTGGAGATTGAGCTGAACTTCATATCTTATCGAAACATAAATGTGTGTTGAGGCTTAGTTATTTATATTAAAAAATCGAGCTCGAGCGAGTTTTCAATAGTCGATTAACTTAATTGTATCTATGTCGTTTTATTTATTTTTATTTTATTTTTTTAATTGTTTTTGACAGTGACGGTCTGCATTTGACACCGGAAGGAAACGGGGTTGTGTTCGGAGAAGTTGTGAAAATATTTGATGAAGCTGGATTTTCGGACCTGCCTTTCGACTTTCCACAGCATTCAGACATTGATGGAGAACACCCTGAAAAATCCTTCTTGCAACAATGTCCAGCTGTGTAATTAATTGTTGTATAAGTTTATTTGTCAAAAATTATTATTATTATTATTATTTTTTATTTCGTCATCTCTCACATTTAATTTATAAATGTTGCATATTGCCCTAATGGGGGCAGGCTTTGGGGTTTTTTATGAAAATAAATAAAAAAAACAGCAATTTTTTAGGCTTATTTGTTTTTTTTTTTGTTTTTTTTTTTTTTTTTTTTTTTATTTTATATCTTTTTGCGTAGGTTATAACAAATATTCTTGGAATTTGATTTAATTATTAGAGAGAATAATTAATTTTTGAAATTAAAACACCATTTGGGTAAAAAATATTTATGAATTTATATGTGCAGTGACAGAGCCATCATACGGTTGAGGGGCAATTCAATCATACGGTTGAGGGGCAATTCAGGTTTCGCCAGTATATTGTAAATACAGTAGAATCTCGATAAATTAATAACCTCGTTGAAATGATCGTTTTTCTGGTCCCGACTCGACAGAATCTACTAAATTATTAGTTTGAAATTTTAATATTTCGCTAAATTAATAGAATTTTGCACGTCTCCATTCTATTAATTTATAAAGGTTTAACTGTAGTAGAATATAACCCGATAAAATTCATTGTTAGCACAAACCTATGAGTAACTAATAAAAAGCCAAATTTAGCATAATACCTTAATAAATAAATGTGTTGCTCTATTTTACAATAAATTTTGGCATTAAACATAGTCTTAATTAGCAATAATCAATTCTGAAATTAATGTACCAGAAAATATGGAAGAGAGATAATAAAAGATAAGTTTCTTATCAAAAAAAAAGAGATAATAAAAGATAAGTGACTGTTACAAAAATGTAATTACTTCTTATCTCTATCATACTAATGTTTTGACTGACAATTAATTTTATTTTTTTTAAATTATTTTACTAAAAAAGAGTGTCCAATCAAATTAAAAAATCAAATTCTCGTCAGGTTTTAGTGTCAACATTTCGTATATACAGTAAAACCTCGATAAATTATAAAATTGTTTAAATAATAATTTCTTTAAATCCCGACTCGATAAATAAACGTACTAAAATATTTTTTCGATACTTTAATATTTTACTAAGTTAATATAATTTTGTTAGTCCAGATTATATTAGTTTATAGAGATTTAACTGGACAATAGTTATATCAAAATGTGGGAATTTGAACAATTTAAATTCTAACATATATATTCTCTTAGTCAAATGTGCATATTGCATATTACTAATTTAATGTCCTCTTTATAGATAGGGATAAATTGCTTAACTTTAATTTCATTTGACTATCAATCTTAATGAACACAAATTAAGTAGAATATTTTTAATACCAAATAAATAAATTTTGATATACTTATATTAAAAATAAAAGAAAAATAGTATTCCCAAGTTCCCACCATTGAAACGGAATTTCCGACTTTTACAAATTTTAATTAGAATATTTTTCAATTTTGGAAAAATATTTTTTATTTTTAATTATGAAAATTCCGATTTTTTTTTCTCCAAATACTACATTTGTATTATCAATATAATTATGTGTTTTTATATTTTAAGTGAATAAAAAATAGAGTTTTTGACTTCCGACGATTTTTATTCAATTCCGAAAATTAAAATTTTCGATTTTCTGAATTTTTCTTAGAAAAAAATTGGAATTAGGTTTTCATATCTGGAAAAAAAAATGGAAATTTCACCCTTATTCCCAACCATCAGATCAATCCCACAAAACAACGGTCCAGATTGAAAATTTTCCAACACATTAAATTCCTTTTACACCTTCATAAATATAAATTTAACTGAAAAGTGAAAGAGTACTCAGACAAAGATTTTGCCTTGTCTTCTTCCATCTTTCCTTCTCCGATGGAGTCTGCAACAAACTCTGTAAATGACCATTATGCCCCTCCTCCACCACTAAGCCTATTCAACAACACCCTAAAACTAGAAACACTAGATTATGACAATGAAACTGATTTTTGCATGGACAACAATTTTTGCATGGCGTCCTTTGATCCTTTCGATCCCTTCGTTAGCGCTTTCTCCTCTTCTAATTCGGTTTTCGATTTACACGAGTTCAAGAATTACGAGGAAAATGGCATCACCAGTACGACTACTTGTACTTATAACAATTTCCAAGGTGACGGATTCTTGAATTTTCCGAATACGAAAGATATGTTAATGATGGAAATCGAGACATCTTTCTTGAACTGCGGTAATGATAATAATAATAATCCTAAGCCGCCTTTAGGGCTTCTTAGTGTTCCCGATGAGAGCTCTGCCGATAATTTTGGCACGAAAAGAAACAGAAATAATAGCAATATTATTAATCCGAAGAACAAAAGGAATAGCAATGCGAAGAAGTCGAAATCGGCTAAGGGGCAGTGGACCATTGAAGAGGACAGGTGGTGTGAAATATGTTACATAAAATAATATATGTTTTTTTTCGAAATTTTATTCGTTTATTTCGATGATTAATTTTTTTTTTAAATTTTTTCAGGACGTTGATCCATTTGGTGGAGAAATACGGAGTTCGAAAATGGTCGCGTATAGCGCAAACGCTGAAGGGTAGGATAGGGAAGCAGTGCAGAGAGAGATGGCATAATCATCTGAGGCCTGATATTAAAGTTTGGATTATTCTAACAAATTTCCTATTAATTAATTAATTCCTTATATATATGTATATATATATTGCTTCTATATCAAGATCTTAACTAATTATATATATATATTTTTCGAATAATACACGCGAGTCTAAATAGATTTGTTCGTGTATATTTGTCGTGCAGAAGGATCAATGGACAGAGGAAGAAGATAGAATTTTAATTGAGGCACACGGAGAAATCGGCAACAAATGGGCAGAAATAGCGAAAAGGCTGCCAGGTAGGACGGAGAATTCAATCAAGAATCACTGGAACGCCACTAAGAGGAGGCAATTTTCGAGACGAAAATGTAGGACTAAATGGCCGAGGCCTAGTTCTCTTCTCCAGAACTATATCAAGAGCCTCAACTTTGACAACAAAAGCAGCGCGTCATCAAGAAATAATAATAATAATAATAATAATATAAATTCTCCGATAATCGAGCCTACTAATCATGGATTAGGCCTCGATAATGCGTCGTTAAACAGTGTTATGGAAGAGGGTAGTTTTGTCCAAATGCCGGAGTTTGATGACGTGGTGGATTTCGATTTTGATGAAGATCGCATGAGCATCGGATCATTCATGGATGATATTGGTGATGAACCATGTTTTGATCTGGAGTTGCCATTTGATATGCCTCCATTGATATAATGCAGTGTCAACTGAAGAAGGAATTTCATTTATTATATTTATATTATCTCAGATAATATATATATATATATATATATATATATATATATATATATATATATATATATATATATATATATATATATATATATATATATATATATCAAGAGATTATATCTCCATTTAACAATGTGCACGCTCGTGTTGGTGTGTATATAAATGGTAAGGATCTACATGTTCTACACTTCAACATGAGCAGCTAGCATAGATTTACCGACATAAATATATTATCAATATGAATAAGTTTTGAATATAGCGCGTAAAATCACGAAACCTTTTTTAAGAGCTCTACTAATTTGAGGAACATGATATACAATATCAAAATTCAAAACTACTTGTGAATTTTCACCAAAAAATGGCCAAAGATAGAATGGTGAAATCTAACCGGTATGAACAAGAATTCATAACCCGGAGCCTCGACAAAGATCTGACGCCTATGAACAAATTCATTTGGGCCTCGAGTAAAATCCCATGCAACTCAAAGCTAAGAGTTTGGACTACGATTGATTGATTTCTAATCTAAAATCACAAAAAGATCAGCAAATTTGTTCCACTGGAGAATTTTTTTTTTTCAATCAGTCTTTGGCTTAATGCGCTTTACTCTCGAGTAGATGAAGACCCCAGCAAGGGCAATTCCGGTACCTTCACCAATAAAAAAAAAAAACAGAGGTGTAAGATTGATTTTCTATTGTAATTAACTTTCTACATTTATCTAAGTAAATAATATTACAGTAAATATATCTATACCTATCGCATTAATGAGTGAAACTGGCGTGCGGAAGAAGAGAACAGATGTCACGATAACCACCACGCGCTTAACACAGTTAGCGACGGAGTGGGTAACAGGAGATACGCGCTGCAATATCATGTAAGAAACCTGCCCAACCGAATCTTATCAGCATTTGTCATGTACAAATTATTAGAAAGGTTTTTTCTACGGTTTTAATCGATTTCAGGAATATTTTGACTATTTGCAGAAAGTGTTATTATTTTCTATATTAAGATGATTTTCGAATGATTATTACCTGCTGATATGCGTGGAAGCAGAGAGCAGCCACGAGTGACCTAGTGTAAATATCTTGGACATTTACTCCCTGGGCACAGTAAAAAATATTCCCATCCCAAAATATTCAGTAAACTTGCTCTTTTTGGAAAGGCTGTATTAATTTATAATTAAATTAAAATCGAATCCTCTTATCACAGTTACTTACAGCAGCTTGAAGATAAGAAGGTGTGAACTTAACGCCTTCCACGAAAAGCGCAACAGGGGCAATCAAGATGAAGGACATGATAGTAATTATTGAGAAGAGTGTGATATTGTCTAGAGATTCCTGCATAAATAAGTTGAAGCTAAAGCATCCTTTCCAATAAAATAGTGTGCATATTAGTTAATCATCTTTTTCCTTTTCTTTTTCAGAATATATATCCTTATGAACATATTTTGCAATAAAAGAATTCTCATAAATAATAATATGGCAAATATACCTCTTTCTTAACCATAAGCTTTTTGCTAAGGACATTGCGCGATTGATTTGTCAAATTTGAGGCCATGGCACTCCAAAAACCAACCCTTCAAAAAGAAATGTAGTGTAAATCCTGTGCAGAATCTTGAAATGAACACTTGTGTGTACTATTAAAGACGAGAGCAAAGGCAACATTGTGCAATGGTTTGTTACCAATCAAAAGAGGCCTCAGTCATTGACGCCAAACCAACTCCACCGACGACTGGTACAAGAGAGGCAACGACCCATAGTGTAGGAGACTGTCCAAATATAGGTAAGTTTTATTACAATAATCCATTGAATGATTACTTGTAAACAAAATAAAATATAATCAACACATGACTAGCAAGTAAACGGAACATTACACGCTAAAAAAGGTAATATAACTGATTCAGTAAAAATAATCAACACATGACTCGCCTTCAAATTGTAATTGATTCAGATTCAAAACATTCCAAATAACTGTCCCTCGGTTATACCTACTAAGTTGATAGTAAGAGTATTTGCAGTTCAGTAAATACCAAAATGTAACCGTGATTTTAGGTTCCATGTTTGTTTCACGAAAATTTGGCATTTCTCTCACTTTAATTACAAGGCAAATTTTATTTTTCTATTACCGGATTTTAGTGGAAATGAACAGTATAAACGTCAATTACTAACGGCATACAGTCAAATAGTTTTTTTCAAATCGGAAACATTTTCCACATCATCAATTTATAAACTCCATGAAGCTATATGTAAAACTCTCCCCACGTCCTACTATAAGTGTAAAAATAAAAAATAAAATAAAATAAAAATAAATAATAATGAATCATTCACCTCGCCCAAAAACATTCCGGACAGGACAACTGAGAAGAAAGGCTCCATAGCTTTAATAGTGTGAGTGAATGAAACGGAAACTTTTCCAAGACTCATGTTAGTGAAGAGGTTGCCTAACGTATGCACCACCGCCAGTGGAAGAATTGCTGCAAGCTGCCAATGTTGGATATTGCATGATCATAATTCATAGTTAAGAATCATAAATGAATACATTATACGACAAAAACATCGAACGAGCATTTTCAATCAAGTACCTGTGCACCACTAATTTTAGGCCGTCTGTAGAGATTCAGGGTCCACATCAGAGTAACAAGTGCAGCCCCAAAAGCGAATTGAACTAGAGTAACTGTAAGCGGGTAATGAAAAACTTTGAGCACCTATTAGCAACAAGCGACGTCGTTACAATGATTTAAATCGAACTCGAGAAAATATCATCGAATTTCGTGCAGGTTCCATGCCACAAATGATATTCAGTAAGCATAAGAGTTGTTCACATAAGAATTATACAATAGAAACTCAATAAAGTAATACTCGATAAATTAATAACCTCGCACAAATAATAATTTTTTTTTTTCCTGACTCGGTAAAATCCTACTTAAACTATTAGTTCGATAATTTAATATTTCGCGAAATTAATATAATTTTGTCAGTCGTATCGTATATACCTGCTTGTTATAGATGTTGAAGTAGATATTGAAAAGGAACCATAGCACGAAAAGAGTTCCGAGCACCAAAGTATCCTCAAAATTCTTAGAATTCGGAATCCCCGCCTCTCCGGCGCTCGCCGCCGCAGCCTGAACCCTAACGCCATCGTCGGAATCGGTCTCCAAACTACCAGGATCCGGCTCCGAAATCCAGCTGCTCTGCTTCAGCGAACATCCAATCGGACTCAATTTCCAACCCGAAGAAGCGGCCGAAAATGACAGATGCGGAGCGTTGATTAAACGCAGTCGTTTCGAGTGGGAGATAGGTAGCGGACTGAATCTAGCGGCGGCGAATTTGCGGGAGCCGCCGGGGAGAGAAATTGAAGGGGCGAATGCGATAGTAGCGCCCTGCATGCCTTTCTCTCTCTCTCTCTCTCTAGATCGAGTTTGTTTGTGTGTATTTATATGTATAGGTGTACGGTGGTGGTGGTGGTGGTGGGGGCTCCGCCGAGGAAGGAGGGAGGAGGGATACTGTAAGTGGGGAGTGGGGGTATAAGAATCGGAGAATGTTTTTGGAATTTTGTGGATTTATTTATTTTTTATTTTATTTAGATTTTTTGTTGAATTTGGAAAGTGAATATTCTTCGATACTAATGTGGACTGTATAGTGGCCAAGTACACAACACAAATAGACAAGAAAAAACAGAATTCTCCACTTGGATTATCTGACGTGGCACTATGGATTCATATTTTATTTTTGTCATGCCTGCTGACTGTACCACTCTAATATTTAATTTTATTAATAAATTGTACCCTAATTTCAAGAGAATCTCATTGATTTTGGAAGCGTTTTGGATCTTATTTTGATTTCATTTTGAGAAAATATATTTTGGGGGAATAATTTGAGAATGAAAGTAATGTTTGTTTGTATTTTGGAAGGAGACAAAATACACTGTAGCAGTCAAATTATGTTTAAATGTGTTAGAAAAAAATATTTTTGAAGAAAAAAATTGAAAGATGAAGTGATGTTTATTTGTTTTTTAGTGAAGACATTTTTTACTCTAGCAGTCAAATCAATTTACTGTAGCAGTCACATCATGTCTGAAGGAGAGAGAGAAACTTTTGAAATTGTTTTGAGAAAATGATTTCAAAAGTGTAATAAATCCCATTTTGTTTTGGGGAAACAATGAAAACATAATGGAAATGGTTCCAAACATTGCCTAAATGTTTCGATTTTTGTTGAAGTGAAAAACTAGTTTCAGTCCTGTTCAAAAAAAAAAATTGAAAATTTGGATTGGGATCAACGGAATTCGGAAATTTCTATTTTTTATTCACCTAAAGTATAAAATACATAATAATACTGGAAATTTAATTGGAATATTCGGAAAAAAAAAAAAAAAAGAATTTTCGGAGCTTAAAATCGAATCAAAAATTGGATTCACATATATATATTTCAATTCCAATCCAAATAATTTCGGAAAAATCAGAACTCAGAATTTTGGAATTCGGATTGAAAAATATTGTTCCAAAATTCGAAAACTTTAGATCATAATCAACGGATGTCAAAAATTTCATTCAAATTCCCACCCCTAAGTATGAGTAATGAATAATTTTGATTAAATAATAGAATAAAGTAGGTCCAAAGTTGGACTTAAATCCAATTAGACCAATCCCCATAATAAATGAGTTTAATTCCTAAATTTGAGTTATTTTAAAACTTAACTAACTAATTAATTACCATTACACCAAAGTTGATTAGGGGATTGTAATTGTCAAACTAGTTTATGGCCGCCATTTGCGACTATGAATATCGCTATCAAATTTTGATGCAAATTTGGCAGGACTATAGATTTTGATATAATAAAATAAACTAGATTTTATAGATTTTGTTATAACATAAATATGCAAACCCTACACCTTAATTTGAAAATTTATTTAATAAAAAAAAAATTAGTATTTTTAAATGAAATTAACTTAGTGTGAAATTATATTTGTTTCCTTTTCTTATATTTTTCTCAATAATATCATTCTAAATTGATATATAATATAATATTTCTTACTACATAAAACAAAGTACGTGACATGTCATTGAGATGCTACACTCGGTGATTTTAAACTATTGATGTGGTGAATTAATTTCCCGCTAAGCGCACATACACATGGGTGTGTATGTAATTCCCATTGCATTTCACTTTCTGCAGCATCAAATAAACCGTATGTGACACAATTATATATTTTCAATGATTGCACAAACAGATTGAACAACAAATCCATTTCAATTTAAAAATCACAAGGCAAATCTTGATTTTGTGAAAAAAAAAAGAAAAAGAAAAACCCGAGTAGTTCTTACGAACAACTACATATACACATGAACACTCGCAGTCTTGATCACCTGGCAAACAGGGCAAACACGAACAAACCCTTCACAATCGACACACAGGCACAAATGCCGACAAGGCAATATCAGAACCGACACTTCTTTACCGTTACAACCTCTGCATTTCAACTCTCGACTATTTCCACCAATCGCAGCCCTCGGCTGATTCGAGCAAGAAACCGCCTCGTCCACCTCACTGTCTCCGGAACCTTCCATAGCCAGGGCGGGCCCCTGTTCGATGAGCTGCTGAATATTGCTCTTCAGTACGTTCACTACCGATTCGTTGTACTTTGCCCTGTAATGCCACGACTGCGCTTCCATGGCGACTTGCTTTATCTTGTCGCCTAGCTCCTTGTTCTTTCGGTTCATATTCTCGATCTCGATCTCCTTCTCGTGCAATTTACGGTTCACTCCTTTTTCGAGGGCGTTTAGTAGAGATACGGTGTGCCTTTGGTTTATCTCTCTTACGCCCTTCAAGATATTCTCTTCCTATATTTGTTGCACATAGATTAAAAAAAAAATCGGAATCTAAAAATCCATTACGATTCCAAAATTTTCTCCAATTTCGAAAATGACATAAATTCTATAAAAAAAACAAAAATACAAAAACAAATAGTGAATGAGGTGAAAAAACGGGTAGAGAAAAATTAAATTAATCTTGCACTAAGTAAAACAAATTAAATATAATTTAGAGGCGTTTTTTTTTTCCGGAAAAAACAAAATTTGAATTTTTTTGGAATTACTTTCGGAAATTAAAATCAGAACAAAAATTGAAAAACTCCAATTATTTTGTATATACTTCCAATTCCAATAAAAGAACAATGAAAAAATTGAAAATCGAAAATTTTGAAATCGGAACAAAAAATTGTTCCAAAATCGGAACTTTTAGTTCCCGAACAAGCGGAAACTGTAAATTCAATTTCCAACTTTTATCCCTAAATCCATACATATTTTACACACATCCGCGTGTTTACGTCTTTGATTGTGTGTAAATTCAAGATTGAAAAATATGCTCAATCGAATTCTAGTGTAAGAGATTAAAACGAGTCCTAATTTAAAAGGCATTAAATACTCTTACTATACCTGAAGTTTAATATATCGGCCGAACTCGTCAGTCTGTCGATCAATCTCCATTTTAACAGTGTTACCAAGAGAAAGCATAACCGGGGCACCGGTTTTCATATTCTCACACGCAGAAGTAACGGAGGAAATACGCTCTTCTTCCTCACAAGAGAGTTTGAGCCCGGTCGAAACGGGATTATGATTTAAAACGGCTCTCACACGGCCCGTTTCATCCTGACAAAAGTTGTTATTCAAAGATATGTGAAGCTTCTGCTGCATCGGCACGGCTTCTACTTCCTTAACTCTGGTAATAAGGTGATGATTGTCGGTGGGCCCGTGATGCCGGTTCACGGTATAGTTCATGGCGCCACCGCATTGTACGGGAACTGCAGAAAGATTCGATTTTTCTCATTAGAAAATTAGTTAGCCCTTTACAATATAATAGAAGTTCGGATAAAGAAGTTGGGTTAGAAGTTTCTAGCTCGACTTGAATCAGCTAAATTGGTGGTTGGATGAGAAAGTTATCCGTAATCTTGAATTACGGTGATGGTAAAATTTAATCGACATTTAGCATTTTTAGCACAACAAAATCGTAATGTATTCTAATACGACTGTCGTAAATTTCTTCGGATATCAAACAAAGTGTTACCTTCTCTTAACGAAACCATCAAGCAGACGAGTTAACTACGATTAAGTTTATCACATTACGAAAGAAAGTCACTTACTATACGCAACTTTTTACGACGAAAGAATAAAAAAGGAAAAGCTTTCGTTTGCGAGCATATATACAAGACGTGACTTGTACGATAAGATTTTGCTCAACAAACAAACACGAGAAAACAGCATCAATAGTATACATTTAAGGAACTATATTTCGATTTTCGAACACGAGTCGAAAGGTGTGCTCACCATGCCCAAATAACTCTAATTGAGGCAATGTGTTATTCTCGTACTGGACCCGATTTTCCTCCAAGAAACCGGCGAACCCCGTGTTTCCATTAGTTGTTGTTCCTCCTCCTAGCATTTTCCTGAAAAATCACACTCGAATATATCAGATTCGATATACTAAAACACCAATCTTGAACAACCCAATTCACAGTAAGAAACATAATCAAAGACTACTAATGCAAGCAAAGATCGAATCTTTTTACGCAATCTGATCGATTATTCATCAAATACAAATCCCTAATTTCAAGAATCCCAATAATGGAAGATCGGCATTCATTAAAAACAAAATCCCAAGATTAAACCAAACCCTAAATCAAGAACTCACCAAGAAAAATCAGCTCCGATTCAATCCAACAAAAGCAAAAAGGGGGAAAATCTGAAAAAACCCAGAAAAGATTTACAGTGTAATTTACTCAAAGTTTCCTTCTTTCAACAAAGGGAAATGGGCAGAAGGGATGGTGGTGCTACAGCCAATAATAAATAATAAATAAATAAAAATAATAAAGAGAGAGAGAGAGAGAGAGAGAGAGAGAGAGAAGGGGGAAAAAGAAATAATAATTGCCATAATAATGAAAGTGGATGGATGGTTGTGGAGTTGTAGTTGTTATTGTTGTTTCGGGTAAGAGAGAAATAAATAAATAAAAAATAAAAAAAATAAAAAATAAAAAGAAAAGAAGGAATCGCCATTTTCGTTGGTAATGGTGATGGGCATTGTTGAATGTGTGTAGTTGTGTGTGTGTGTGTGAGAGAGAGAGAGGGGGGAATCAAGAAGAGGAGTAGTCGGTGTTGAAGAAATCTTCTTCACCATGTTTTGGCCTATACTTTTGCTTTCTCTCTCTACAATGGTGGTTTGTTTTTCTCTTTCTTTGGGTCATTCATTTTTTGCACTGTCTCTGAATGTACGGCCGGCTTCCTTTTTACCCCTCCCAACCACTGAAATTCGAATCGTGTGTTTTACTTTTTCTTCATTTCTTTGATTTTGGTAACGGTTACTTTCGGTTTTAGGTTTTGGGTTTCGGTTTCTACCACCCCTTTTCTTCAATTTATTTTTGTGTAAATTACGGCCATCATCTGAGGTAAGGTCAAATTACGAAAAATTCCCTCATGTTTGGATAATTACAACCACCTCTTCAACTATGAATCTTCTTACACTTTCACCCTTATAGTGTTAAAATTAACATAATCTTCTATATTTCGTGGAATGTTCTCTAGTTTGTACTCGTTTTGTGCAAAACAGCAGTTTCTGATGCATCACTATATGATATTTACAAGCAAAGAAACACATTTTATGATAAAACGGGTGAAGAAGATTTCACTAAATTTGATACCACAAGGGTGTACGTGTAAGAAGATTCATAGTTATGGGGTGGTTGTAATTACTCAAACATGAGAGTTTTTTTCGTGATTTAACTTTACGTCGGGAGTGACCGTAATTTATCCAATATTTTATTCTTATGTTTATAAAATTATGAATATTTTTATAAGGACAAAATGCACTTCACCCTCTAAAAAATTCTCATTTTTGCACTTTCTCCACTAAAAATTCAAAAGTTGGATAACCCCTTCAAAATATTATTTTGGTTGCACTTTGCCCCATACGTCAATTTTTTTGTGAGCAATGTGCAACAAAAATAACACTTTAAAGGGGCAATGTGCAACAAAAATAACATACAAATGGGCCAGCAGCAATAAAAATACTCAATTAGGATGAATAATCCATCGAATTTTTGTTATGGAGCAATGTGCAACAAGAATAACATTTTGAAGGGGGCATTCACTTTTTAATATTTTGAGGGGTAAAGTGAAAAAATTAGAAATTTTTAGGGGGTGATGTGCAATTTACCCATTTTATAATAATCTGTCACCAACAATTTTTTTTTTTTTTGCACTAGGACGTCCATCTTAAATTTTAAGTTAAAACCACTTTGTCCACTAAATCTTTTTTTTTTTCTTTCTTATATCATCCCTATTTTCGTTCAAAATCTGGATGAATTCAAATTGTCAGGCTTAAATATTTCAATTTAATATTTTTTAGGGGTAATAGTTGTGTGGTTATATGGTTGAAGAGATACTATATCTGATAAAAAGTATCTTGTATTTTGTATTATAAATTTATATAAATAACTATCGACTGAACACATATTCACACATGAATGTATGAGATTATACCTATATGAATATGGTGCATCATATATCACCGGTGTATTTCAATTCATTGTTGGGCTAAAATTATTAGTTGTCAAGTACATGAATGGAAAATGAACATTTAATTTAATTGGGAATTAGCTAGATAATGAATGAAAGAGTAGCATTTACCAATCATACATCAAAATAGTGTTATATTGGTACTTGATATTAAACCTAAAATTTGGTGATCCACCCTACTATTGATAATGCTTTTTTGCCTAAACAATTTCATGAATTAAATTAATTTTAGTGTATAAAAATGAAATTATTAGTGAAGATTACAAATTACTCCCTCCGTTCCTAAATAGGTGTCTTTTTCACATTGGCACAAATCTTAAGAATCTCAATAAATATGTCTTGATTTTAGGAAAATAGATATTGATGGACCAAAATACCCTTGTTTATTAATTAATGCAGGAAGAGTGCTATAGAGTTAATAAGGATAAAATTGAAAAATAAGCAATTAATGCAGTATTGGAATTGTAAAGTGACAGATAATATGGAACAAAAACAATTCTCAAAAGAGACAGATATTATGGAACAGAGGGAGTACTTCTTATGTCCTTCAATTATCAATATAAATAAAATGGCCTCTTAAAAGCTATCTTATTCATGCTTTATAGTTTCTATACATGCATTTATGGATAAGAACCAACCGTCACTGAAAGTGTAGTGCGAATTTTGTTCTCGTGCAATACCTTATAAATCAGACGATCTTCCTTCTGAGTAAAACACATTCCTCCTAGCTAGATGTAAACCACACTAGAATAATAATGTATGACGAGGTTGATTGACATAAATAGTGCTAATAAAAATGTAAATTTGATTGAAATGTACATTTATTTAATCTACGTTTGATTAAACAAAAAATTGTCCGCATATATGGTCTAATATGTGAATAAAAGAGAACTCGACGTCTAACGACTCGGGTTCAATTCTTCTTGACAACATTTTCTAAATCAAACTCGTCAGATATGACACGTTCAGAGCAGTTTACACTTTTTGTAGTGCTTTGTAGTCTATCTCATGAAACCTAGATATAACTAGAGTACATTAGTGGCTGTGAGTTCCTTTGTGAAAAAAATAAAATCAAAACAATTTAAATTTAAAAAAAAAAGTTTATTGCAAAAAATTCTTAAAACCCCTTTATAATGCAATTTGTTAGCACACAATCCTCTTATATGTGAAATTTTAGGGGTAGTTTGCTAAAACAAATTGAATATAAGGAGTGTTTTCCTAACACAATAACATGAGGGGTTTCTTAACAATTATATAAAATATAAGGGGTGTTAAAATGCAATAAACCCTAAAAAAACTGCATTTGTATATAATTAAAACAGGGTATTCCAGCACGTGTCAACTCTCCCTCCATTAAACCGCAAAAATCTCCTTCGTTTTCACCTCACATTCCTCCACCTCTCTCAAATGGCTTCAAACCACTGAAAATGTGAAAAATCCTCGCTATCAACAAATCCCAATTGATTGACCAATCGTAGGGATGAAGTAAACAAAACCCCCGAAGAAACCCTTCTGAAATTTATCCAAGAAAGAGGAGAAGGGTTTTCAGTCTCTTTGCAAAATGCACTGTTTGAATTTGAAGATTGTTACGAATGTCAACGCGCTGTCGTTTCCGGGTCGGCTCAGTAGCGTCGTTAAAGACTGTAATTTGAGGGTGAATCGAATCGTTGCTTGCAGCGTACCGGGCGGTTCGGGTTCGGGTTCCGGTCCGGTTCAAGACTCGAGCCGGGGTTCTTCGATTTCTAGATCAGAGACGTATGCTTTGTTGAAGCAGCAGCTGGAAGTTGCTGCGAAATCTGAGGTGCGCTTTTTTTTCTCGTAATTGTTTTGTGAAAGAGTTTTTTTTTTTATTTGTTAGTTTGATGCAGTTTAAGTGTTCGACGAAAGTCCCCACTCATAATTGTCTTAGGATATGTAGTTTACAGTCGTCGAGTGTGCCGACAGTGGTGTCTGTGGACATGTTTGTGTGTTTTTGGAGTTTAACTGTTGTCTTAGACTGTTGCTATTAGTGAATACAACTATGGTCTTGTAATAAACTGTACGATGTTTTGATTGAAGTTAGTTATATAGCATTATGGCCGACGTGAATCAATGAGCCCAAAATTGGCATAGAGTTTGGCATGAGTCTATATCACGGGTATCTAAAATTTGGAGAAAACGAGCACATAATTTTTTTGGTGGCCATTTACACCGAATGTTTTCTTACACGTGTTGGTCGGTTTAGGTTGGTTGGTTGATTTGAGATTGACATTTATTATGTTGGTTATTTTGTTAGGATTACAGGGAAGCTGCTAGGCTTCGTGATTCATTGAAGCTATTTGAGGAAGAGGAGCCAGTTTTGCGGCTTCGGAGATTATTGAAAGAGGCCATTGCACATGAGAAATTTGAGGTATGCCTTTTTCTATTGATTTTTTTAAGGTTACGATGAATCAAATAATCTCGTTTTCCAGATACTTCACTTTTAAAAGTTACCGACTAATTGGATAAACAAAGAGTTAAAAGTTATGCCTCATAAAAATATACGATGACTTATGCTTGTGTGAATGCATAACCGATTTGTCTGATGCTTTCTTTTCCGATTAATTAAAAGGCTGTTTGTTGAAGTCCTTTTTTGTTGTTCATTTGTTTGTAATTTCAGGATGCAGCTAAGATCCGTGACGAGTTAAAGGAAATTTCTCCGTACTCTCTTTTGAAGTGCTCAAGTGATGCAACGACCTTGGTACTACAACCATCGTAAATCAACTAATTGACATTTTAAATTAAGCACTGTTCTAATTGAATCCCGCTAGAGCTAACTATTTGGCTAAAAAAGAATCTTTCCTCATATTTAGTATTCTCGATTCTTCTCCTGAAACCATTATAAACCGTAATCGAAACGTATAGTTATAATATTTTGGATTATATTATTGCTCTTTTTTTTCAGGGGATTAGAGTTCAAGTTAGGAGTGTATACATTGAAGGAAGAAGTCAACCCTCGAAAGGGCTTTATTTTTTCGCGTATAGGATCAGAGTCACTAACAACTCCGATCGCCCTGTACAACTTCTAAGAAGGCACTGGATCATAACCGATGCCAATGGGAAAACCGAAAGTGTCCAGTAAGTAGTCGATTTTTTTTTTACCTTTTTATATGTCATTTACAGACTACAGTAATTTTTCACCACTGCTATCGTTTAATCGATAACTTTTGTTTATCGAGTTACTAATTTTTTATTTTATTCCAGGGGTGTTGGAGTTATAGGTGAACAGCCAGTTATACTTCCCAAAACTGGTTTCGAGTATTCATCTGCTTGTCCACTAAGCACGTCTAGTGGGAGAATGGTGAGATTAGTGAATTACACATATGATTAATCATTTTTAATTTGCTAAATGATTAATTTTCTTGCTCTTTGAGAATATATATCACCGAGCAATTATCAATCACAACTTTACCATTTAAACGAATCTTTGAAGCTTTTAGACATGCAAACATATTTTTGGATACCCATAGGCCTCGTTTGGCTCCCAAGACAATTTTATGCATTATTATTAGAATCCAAGTATAAACCAAGAGAAGAGCTCATTTTTTTTTCCTAATTGCGGGCCAGCCCCTAAAAGTGACTGCAATAAACGAACATCAAATAAGACCTAATTTATTAATTAATCATGGTTTATCGTACCAACCAAACAAGACCCTAATGTATGTGAGATCCTTCTCTATCATTGATTAGTGTTCTTGCTAATTTACTCGATACAATTTCACTTTATTTGCTTATTGTTTTATAGGAGGGCGACTTTGAGATGAAGCATATCGATAAAGTCGGTGCTCAAACGTTCAATGTGGCTATTGCCCCCTTTTCTCTCTCCACATTTGGAGATAGCGGTGATGCTATTTGAGAGAGACGACATACTAAACGATCAAATTGTACTGTATTTTTTACCAAAATTGTTATGGTAATTACCAATTGCCCAGCTGTGAAGACCGAGTATAAGAAATGTAGCTAGGAGTCTGATTAGTGATTAGCTCGAAACCAAAATCAGAACTTTTAATTTGTTTTTTACAGTCAATGTATAAACGGAGCGGACTGTAATATAGAAAATGTATAGACATTATGAGAATGTATACAAAGTATTCAATTTTGGCTGCTATTACGTTTCTTGAAATTTCAGGATCAAAATTTGGTCGTCTCTCAGGTGTTGAAGATGCTACTAATCGAAGGTATGTATTTTTACGATCTTAAAAAATTGCTCGAATTAAAAATACGACTTGTAGAGTTATATTAGTTCGACATTTATGCAGAACTTGTTAAATATGTTGTCACTTCGTTATTTTGTTTATAAGCATGATACAAAACTAATATTTCTATGCATATTATCATTATAATTGTAGATTTTTTAGACTATACGATATTCAAGCAGTACTTGTAATAATTTTGAATCCGAAACCCGGAAACCCGAAACCCATAAATTCAGAATACGTATTGGATACAACCAAATAGATATAGATGATTTAAAACGAGAGATCGGCGTTGCAGTTTTTGTGGTGTCCTGTTACTACCTTTCTTGAACAAGGTTTCAATTACACCGTTTTAGTGTATAATTATGGAATGTGGTTGAGTGTTGGTTTCATTTGCTTGGATCATGCATTATGCAACTATAACAAACTTTACCTCTCTCTTTCGTTACGTAATTTTGTCAAGGGTTTGATTTTTATTTAAATTTCTTTTACTCGCATCTATAAATTGCAGTAGGTTGTTTCTTTCATTTATTAGAAAGCTTGTATTTGTTTGATGTAGCTCTAATGCTGGCATATAGGCAAGAAAAAGAGCATTTCTTACGACAGTTTGGATTGAATCGAAGAGTCGCTGCAGGTATGTTTGTTAGATTAACCATTTTTCGAAAATTGAAATCAAATTGGAAATCAAGATCTCATATGTAACTATGATTTCGATCCAAATTCTGTAAGAAAAATCGAAATTAGAGTTTAAATAAATGAAACGAAATAAAACTGATTTTTTTACAGCTTATGGCTTATTTGTTGTGGTAAAGGCCAGATATTATTAGGGTTTTTTTTTTGGTAATTAGATATTATTAGGGTTATCTGTATTGTATTTTGTAAATGTATTTAAAGCATATGATAAAATATGATATGAAATAAATCCAATATAGCATTCCACTTGTAGTTGTAGGTAGGCTCTAGCTATTTAGCATCAGCTCCCTCAATTTAGGCCAAATTATTGTTAAGCAAACAAACAAAGTACACCTTTCAATGTGTGTGTGTGTGTGTGTGTGTGTGTGTGTGAGAATTAGTAGGTTTTGAAAGTCGGAAGAGGCTAATAACTCTTATGGTTCTTCTATGTGGGCGAAATCAAACGATCAGATCAGAATTAACATTTTTATTTTTTATTTTTTTTATAAATGAAATCAATTTGAACTTTGTTTCAAAAAATCCGAAGAAATAGTAGAATTGATGAACCTCTTCGCATATCGATCTTTTTTGGATTGGTGTCGAAGAAAATCGGTTATCAAAAAAAAAAAAAGGGGATTAATTTTATTAATATTACAAGTGTCATTTTTGAAAAAAAAAATATTAGTTCAAAAAAAAAAAATCTATATTAAAAAGATAAGACACAAATGTGAATTAACGCGTAATAAATAGTGGTGTTGCGTATAACGCGTAATATATGGCCCTTTACTTGGGGCTCACTTCATCACAATTTCACATATTTATTTTTTTATTTTTTAAACATTAAAATATATTTTTCTGTAATTGTCGGTGGTGGTGCTATAAATCTCTCTCCCACTAATTTTGAACAATTGATGGTTTATTATATTTTGATAACTAAAAAAATGTTTTTTTTAATTAGAATATAACGAAATAATCTTGCGACGGTGTTATGAATGTGACGAGGAAGAAAAACTAGTCCAAAATCACGTGATTTTTTAACCATAATAAATCACGTTTAATTTCATGTCCAAAACAGACTATACTCTAAAATCATGTGATCTTTCCCTATTTATCTGTCTCATCTGATTCGAATATATATGAGTATTTTTTTTCATTCAATATTATTTCATAGTAGTAAATGATTATGCAAATAATGGATTAGAAAAAAAAAAAAAAAACTATGATTTTTTTCAATGTTTTTCTTTAATTGTACTAATATTTTCTTTTCCCAAATTTCGTGCCGGTCAATGCTTTGTAGTCCCAAATCCAAGAAATTTTGAAATTAAAAAAAAAAAAAGAGAGAGAGGAGATAAAGAGAAAAGGGTAAAAAGAAGGCAAAAATTCTTTAATTTTTTATTTTTAATTTTTAAAATTTTGTATGTCTTGTCATTCACGCTGGACCACTTTTACAATTTTGCATAAGAAAGAGGGTCAATGTGTCAAAAAGGCATTCAAATATATTTTTGACCCAAAATCTCAACTCAGTAGTGTGGTCTCATGAGTCATGCATACTGCCCACCGAGTTTGCATTTCTCCATTTTCAAAACAAATATAATTAAATAAAATCATTTTCTTATAAAATAACATAAAAATACAAATAAAAATAATAATAATAATAATAATAAGATGCTTTATATATTCTTTAAACTAGGGATAAAAAAATAAAAGATTAATATTAAGAATTAAAACTGTAATATTCCTTTTTACAGCTGCTTTTATTCCTTTTAAAGGAAGCTCACAGAAAACAAGAAGCATATAATAAATTTTGCATCTTCATTTACAGAATCTACAAGCAATCCAACACTTATTCCACATCAGCAAACACTGGACCTCCGCGCTCCCGGCTTTTTCAAGCATAAAAAATGC